TCATCAACCCGTTTCAGAAAGAAAGCTTGGAGCTCCGCCCACAGATGACGGCCGACCAGCTCCACCAATCAGCAACCAGAGTCCACTTTGACATCCCGCCCAGTTTGATGCTGCTGCTAAAAGATTTCCTGATTTGTCAAACCGATGCTAAAGTAGAACTTCACATGATGCTCCACAATCCTCACTTTAGGGAAGAAAGAACTAGTAAGAGTTGGTATAAAATGCAACTTTATTCTCGCAATTTAGGACTTATGTAATTATGACTTTATTCTCAAAATAGCATAAAGAAAAAAAGATCTCTAGCCTGGCCCTAAAACTCCGTCGTAAAATCTCATCTCAAAGTCAACCTGATGTAAAAGAAGATAAATCAATATATCATTAATCAGATATGACTAGTCTTACTTCTAACCAACACAAGATTCAGCGACAGACACCTTCAGTTCGTTAAAACTTCTACTTTTTAAAAATAGGAAAGAATCATCTCCATTTTGGTAGAAGTTCTGTGTAGAAGCTGGAAGGGTCTTAAACCCAGAGGGATCCTGAAGGACGTTTATCAGACTTCCAGTATAGAAGTAAAGTACGTCTAGACAATAAAGATGAAAAAGCAACAATCACCATTTGAACAGAACTTAGAACTAAAGTAGGGTTGAAGATATTAAATATGGCAACAAATGGACAAGGATGCAGATCTACTATTAGAAGAGAAGACATAGAGTAATGATCAGACCGAAAATTATATAATTTGGAACAAAGAAAGAACATGTGGCCAAGATTGCATCTGGAGCCTTTGCATTTATTTCATATATCCACAACATCCGGTTAAATTTGAGAAAGCTTAGATTTAGAGAAATGAATCCTATGTACAAATTTAAATGGAATAAAAGAAAGATGAGCACAAGATGAGGAAGATCGAATTCTGTCCATGGCATCATCCTAAACATCTGGGGTCGGCTGGATTCCCAACGCTTTATACTGATGATGTTTAAAGGTGAAAGCATGAGGGGAAGCATACTACTAATCACATTCATTGATTATTGAATTAATCATCCACTAATTTAGTAATCTGTTAATTAGTAACTGGAGTATTATCCGATTATTCATTGAAAAAATAATCGACACATCTTTCCATTTGCTAAATATTTTTTAGTATATCTGCACAGATATTTTCCTCTTCGTTTAGTCAAAGTTTTTCTCTTTAATCCTCCGTAGTAGATGGGAGGCGGGTTTTCCTGCTGCCACAGCAGGTGTAGGTGTGGCTTTGTGTTGATCTCTGGCACTGCTGCATTATGGGACATTGGCGTTTGTGTTGTCTTCTAGACCCGAGCGGTAAATGTGGAACTGGAAATGGACCCCACGCTGCAGGTGGACATCTCTGACGCTTTGAGCGAGAGGGACAAGGTGAAGTTTACCGTCCACACCAAGGTGAGACCCGGTTCAGGTTCTTCTCCCTCGTCGTCTCCTTTTTCTGCACGCTGACGTCGCATCCTTCATGTTTCCACAGAGCAACCTCCCCACCTTCAAACAAAACGAGTTCTCTGTGGTCCGACAACACGAGGAGTTCATCTGGCTGCACGACTCGTTCGTGGAAAACGAAGACTATGCAGGATACATCGTAAGATCCACACACTTCCAGCTGATTTTGGTCTGGAATGGAGAACATTAGTTGGAGGGAAAAGCACCGTCTGATGAGGACAAGGCAGTTCGTCCATGAATGATCTGCCAGTTTCACTGCTTCTGTGTTCTACCTGCTTTCTTCATGTGAACAGGAAACTAAAAGCAGGGTTAATTTAAGGTCACGTTGTTCACCATGTTGATGTGTCTCGTACTGATTGAATTACTGGGATCTTACCAAGGATTAAAATCCCATTAGATGGTTGGCGTACTATGCTGACTGGTTTTAGGACATAACTGGTTGGTGGTTCTTTTTTTTTTACTTATCTTTTTTACTTGTATTTTTTTATTTTTAAAAGCAACACATAATATCAAACAGAACAATTTAAATAGAACAGGTGGTCAGTAATAATTAATATATATATATTTCCATATTTAGCTTTTTGCAGCCTTATTATAAAAGTGAGACTTTCCATGCTGCGAGCTTCTTCTACAGCATCCATCTAATTTTTTTAACTCTACAGGTTTCTTCGTTGGACCTTTAAGGTCTTACAGCCTTTTTTTACTTCTGACAACAGAATTTTAAATAAAAGTCCGTTCATTAAAGAATAATCAATGGATTATTATTTATACCCAAAACTAATACGTTCGCAGTGATTTAAGGAATTTAGCTTTAATTTTCGTCATCACTGAGTTCTCCCAAGAAGGCCAGAAATCGCAATGTATGATTTATTTAACAATTTATTTGTATGATTCAGCTACAAATAAATGGGATTTTGGCCCATTCCTCCACACAGATCTTCTCTACATCAATCAGGTTTCTGGGCTGTTGCTGAGAAACACAGGGTTTGGAAACGGTGGTCCCTGCTCCTCTCAGGTCATTGGCCAGCTCCTCCGGGGGAACCCCAAGGCGCTCCCAGCAGAAACAGAGCCCCTCCAGCGTGTCCAGATTTCAAACCTTGACGTCTTAGTGTATTACCAACAGTAACCATGGAAACGGTGGTCCCAGCTCCTCCCGTGTAGTTCTGAGCTGAGTTCTCACCTTTCTCAGGATCAGTGAGACTCCACCATGCATGGAGCCCCAGTGTGAGGGAGATTGACCGCCATGTTTAGCTTCTTCCATTTTCTAATGTTTGCTCCAACAGTGGAGCTTTTTCCACCCAGCTGCTCGGTTATTTCCCTGCAGCCCTTTCCAGCCTTGTGGAGGTGGACAGTTTAGTCTTTGGACAGCTCTTGGTCTGGGGTGGACAGGTGTCTTTATGCAGCTAACCACCTTAAACAGGTGCAGCTAATTTAGGATAATAAATGGAGGTGGACATTTTGAAGGCAGACCAACAGGCCTTTGAGGGTCAGAATTAGCTGATAGAGAGGCGTTCAAGTTCTTATTTACTGCTGAATCATACAAATAAATAGATAAAAATCATAGATTGTGATTTATAGTTTTTTTTAGATAATGTCTCTCACAGTGGACATGTAACTGTGATGACAAATACAGACCCTCCATGTGGGAGAACTTGCAAAATAGCAGGATGTTTAAAGACTTATTTTCCTCACTGTATGTGTGCAGTGATCTTGATCCAGCAGAGGAAACTTTAACTGGGTGTAATGAAGCAAAGCAAGTTCTCAGTCTCAGTTACTGGTTTTAGATCCCTCCAGCCCCCCCCAGACCTGACTTTGACGCGTCCAGAGAGAAGCTGCAGAAACTGGGCGAAGGAGAAGGGTCCATGACGAAGGAGGAGTTTACCAAGATGAAGCAGGAGCTGGAGGCGTAAGTAGCAGGACGGGCCGTG